CCCCCCCCCCCCCCCCCCCCCCCCCCCCCCCCCAAAAGAAAAAAACACTAATATTATAAATCTCCAAAGCGGCTACTTGTTCCAAGTTCCAGTTTTTAAGCTTATAATGTTTCTTACAAAGTGCTTTAATTATTATTACTATTGCTTTGCCGTCGCCGGAGTCTAGGTAAGACTCCCTCTACCCTTGAGAGAACTCCCGAAACTGCCAGTTATTTTCGGTCTACCATATCTGTTTTATTTTACCTGTAATGATACTATCTTTTAAAGTTCAAAATAAGAAAAAAGAAGGAAAAAAAGAGCACTTATTGGAAGTCAACCGAGTGAAGTGTTTGCGTCATAACAGAAGTAATGATTTCTGGTAATCTGTTTACGCTAGAAATTAGAGACCGCAAAAATTATTTTGGTATTTTGCAGCAACAAAAGTATAGCATCTGTTTTACTATTATACTGATTTCTGGATGGTCAAATTTTAATTATATTACTGTGGTCTTTTTCTTTTTTTTTTTCGTGACTTTAAAAGGTAAAATGAATTATTTTTAGTTCCCAAATGCCTGATAGTTAGTTACTCGATGCTCCAGCGCTGAAAATTGTTTACCTTACAGAAGTGCAGTAAAAATTATGTAGTTTTTCACTCTTAAACAACTTACTCAAGAAACTTGTTCAAGAACTACGAACAATTTTTTGACAAGAACCTTTGATTTTTTCTTTGTCAAGAATTTAATAACAATTTAACGCCCATTTAGTGTTGCTGTTGAACTTTTAGGACTCCAAGTATATTTTAACATACTCCGCTTGTCCTAAAAGCTATTGGCAAAGCGCTTCAGCCTGTGAACAAAGAGCAAAAAACTGCATCCAAGGCTTATGCCTAAAAACCGTAGCTTTTATCGGAAACGGTAAATAAGCTCATTCTGAGCATTTAAAACTTCAGGTACCGTATTAAATAAACCACACAGCAGTGTTGGCAACGAATTACATGACATATATACGCCATTAAAACTCTAAGTTCCGTTACAGGAAATGAAGTTTATTTTGCTGTTAACAATACAAACAGTTCGCAGTAAAAAGCTGTGAACAGGTAACTGCCGAGCTTTAAAACGCAGTAAGAATTGAGCACTCGTGAAATTCAAATATCTATTTATTCTTTGATTAAAACGAAGGCGAAAATAAACCACCTTTTCACATTCAAAACAATTGAAAAATTCTTAATTTTCACTTTTGTTTTTTTCATCAGCTAGGATTCTTCCGCTTCTCTTTCGCCTACTTTGCGGAAACCTTTTTACCCTACTTGTTTCAATTTTTGCAATAAACCATATCCAACTCATATCTATTCCCGTAATTGAGGCTTTCTACCACAGAAAAAAGCAATCTTCCCTTAATTTATGGTATACATAGTTGGTAACATGTAAAAAAACGCCATCATCAAAACTGTAAGAGATGATACAATTCAATTTGAAGAGCCTGTAAAGCGCCATAAAAAGGATCATTCGAGCATATAACCCTGGGTACTAACAAGTCTATTTTATTTATTAAAAATAATAACGATAAAAAACTCTTGACATTTGGTCGTTGTTAATTTATGCGTTATAGAATACCACATTTAACTTTAGCAGCAACTTTTGATTTCAAAATGCTAATTAAATAGACTCAATTGGTTTCACTTATGCACTAATTAGTTTTATAAAGTAAACTATGATCAGTGCGCCAATGTAACCGCAGTTATCACTGTTACTTAGCAATTATTTAAAAGAGTAGCACTAAAAAACCTCAATTCACTGGCTCTTTTTCGTTCTTGCTTCAACCCACCATTTTATTGTTAATTAAGCTAAGAATTTGTTGAAGAAAATGAGAGAATTCACACCAGATTGCGTCTAGGCTGAAATTTAAATCACATAAACCAAGAACAAATTTAACGGTTGAAAAATGTTGTAAACAATGAGCTTTTATAGACAGATAACGTCAAAATATTAATTCAATTCGCATCTCACAAAAACAGAATAACTTTTACCTCGGCCGTTATTAGGTAACCGGCCGCAATAACAAAGCGCTCCAAAGCAAAAATTATACATGCGTGATAAGTTTAACAAATTGCTGCGTACAAAATTAGATCAAATAGAAGACAACCAGTTAGTATTTTGGTAGTAACTGAATGTCACTCAACAAAAAGCTTAAACAAAATTTCTAAAAAAATTTATTATATTTTTATTCTTTCCACCCAAAATCGCATCTATTTACTCGATTAAACTTTTCCAGCTAAATCATTGATCAAAATCAACAAGATCTCTCCCTAGCCATTACCTCCTAAAATACAAAACCTATTTATCACTACAACCAAATAAACAGCAACATTTAAATCCCATTTGCAAAACAGGGCAGATTTTTCAAAAAATATTACGTCATACGTTACGAAGCAGAACTTCCAGTCATTCAAACAGAAAAATCTTGAAAAACTTCGCCATACCCTGCCTGATTAGCATCGCGGACCCATCACCAATTTATGCCTTCATATGGAGACTGATAGTTAGCCCCGCTGGAGGTATCCTGCAATAAACAGTATCATCTAAAATGTTTTAAAAATTATAGATTATTGAACTATTTTTGTAATTATTTAGTGCAGAAGAATCTACAGCAGATATCCCCTAATTATTCGTAAAGAGGGAAAGTACTGTGTCAAAGCAGTTCAAAATTTAAAAATAATTTCTAAAAATTGATTATTAACATATACAAGTGACTGAAACAGTTACAAAATTAACAAATTCATCTACTTAATTACCATTTAAACCTTTAAACAACAAAGCTATCACGATACAGTAAAGACCGAAATTACCAGAAAAACTGAGTGATTCTCAGAGGGAACAAGGATGCGATACACAAGACAGAACCGGACTGCCTAAGCAAAACTCTTCCACCGACCTCTTCTGCTGCGCATACGTACGATTTTTCTAGAAAAGGCCAAAACTACTAATTATAGTGATTCCATTAAGTAGCTCATATCAAACAAATTACTTCTATTTAAAAAAAAAACCATAAAATAAAGAATGGCAACTTGCAACTCGTAAACTATGATGAATTACTCAACAACCCTCAAAAGAAATTCAACAGATGTGAGGAAAAACTGATTAAATTTTTATAACTTAAGGAAAAAAAGAGAATTGAGTAAAAACTAAACATTTGATTAAGAAAACGCCTCAGAAGTAGTATGAAAACTAGCCAATAAAAATTTACATCAACCCATATAGTTTTACTGATACTCGTCTCAAAATAAGCTTACAAAAAAGATGCTGAAGGAAGCTGAAACCTTTTCTTAGTATAAAAGACTTCAAAACTAGACGCCAATTAGCAAAAAACAAAGCGACCTTTAAGCTTACAAGTTTCTTGACTTAGAAAAAACAAAAATCACTATGCAGTAAAATTGTTTTTTCTACTGAATAAAAACAGTAAAAAATTTTGTTCCAAATCATGTTCCAGATTCTTTTCAAAACTTGGCTACTTCCTCGTGACTGTATTGGGCGAAAGTCAGGGACAGGCAAGCTGCGCTAACCAACACTGAGAGAATTTAAGGTTGAAAACATAACACTGAAAAATAAGATAGAAGCAAAAATTAATCAAACAAATGTCCTAAAGTTTTCAATATTTTCTTAAACCTTATACTCACATTGCAGTTATTGCTGCCGTCCCGCTACTACTCGCATTTCTGCAATTTTTTGAAATAATACCCAACACCTTCAATCATCGTCGTTTTGCTTCCAGCAAACAGCGGATTTTTCAGTTGTGTCACTTGTAGTTGAAGATATACGGTAACAGTAAATAAAACCTCAGTATTGCTAAGTTCTGATACCCCAATAACTTCGGAACCACTCCTACACTATCACTTTGCCGTCCTTCCAAATGCCTCCCACTTCCTCTGTCTTTTATTTCATTCCCTCTTCCGTCACCGCCAGCAGTATCCATATCCCGTTACGAAACATATAATTGTGCATTAGAGCGTTATGAAAACAAACTTTTGTCAATGTCTGAAAAAAGCACTGATTGCTTCCAATTTGAAAAAAACATTGATTGCTTCCAGCCTTAAAAATGCATAAGTTGCTTGTGACCTTGTTTTTTGTTAATGTCACCAAAGAGCGTGCGCTTAAACGTAAAATTACGACTTCAAAAAACCTCACACAGTAAAGACTGGTCATTCTGTT